TGTGCTCTTCCGATCTGTTGTCGTAACTTGCTTTCACAGCTCAAATGAATGCAAATAAATTTTCGATGATATCTTGATTAAGGGGGTATTCTAGTCCAGCGAATCGCAAAAATCGATTTTTCTTTTTTTACATATTTTGCAAGTATTTGATATGGAAAATATGTCTGCAAAAGGATTTAGCCCGATTCGCAAAATTAACAAAGTTATAGACCGGTATTCATAGTCGATTCTTATATTTAAGATCGTCTTAAATGTAGTTTTAAGATGTTACAAGCTAATAACAGAGTCGTATTAGTATCTTAAAGCATTATTTAAGACGGCCTTAAAATAAAAACCGCCTTATGGCCAAGAATACCGGCCATAGCACTTGATAGAGAGCAGTCTCAATTTATGTAATCAGTACAAAAAACTTTAAACGCGTTTTTCTCGAAACCATGTTTTTCCAATTGGTACCCATGATATCTCAAAAATCAATTGACTAATCAATTCGGGCTTGTGCACACATCTTCAGCATATGCGTGGCTATAGCCCCTATTTCGATCAAGTCAAAATATGTCTTTTTTTAATTTTTACTATTTAAAGTTGAAAAAAGTGGCAAAAATCTAAACTTAATTTTCAAAATGATGTCAGTTTTTCAATTTTTAGTATTTTTTTTATGATCTGGTATCAGTTATAGCCAAACTTATATTAATTAAGAATTTCTTTGATTTTTTCTTTTAAATGAGCAGAACAGCCGGAATTATGGGTACCGTGGACAATCTTTTTTTTTCATGACCTCAGTATATGTTGTATACAGCGCTTATTTGTAGTTATTTTTAAATACAAATATTTTGAAACATATTTCAAATATGTATAAATATGTAGGAAAAAACCCCGTCCCAAAAAACTTTATACTTTCTTTTAAAAAAATTCGCAAAAATAGCATAAAAATTTGGCCTCTAGACTATCCTAGAAACTAGAATACCCCCTTAAACGAATATCTCGTTGTTGCATAATAATGTACAATTATTGTATAGTTACTTAAACGGAAACATATATAAGTAAAAAAAAAGAAAGGACGGAAATATTTGAAATGACACGTGCAATACCTGATTTTAGTATAAAGGATTGTCGATTGCATTATGCCAAGTGCATTTCTCTCTTCCTTATACGGCTTGTGTATCTTTGAATGCCATTAAAAGTTACTACGCGATTTAAAAAATTGGCGAAACATATTAAAAAAATTATACAAGTAGTACTTACACTTAGCTGTAGCTGTCGAGAGATGATTGCGACGTTGTTTATCGCTATTTAAAAAAAAAAGAAGAAAAGAAATTCAAAAGATGATTCTTCACCCTTCTAAGGTACAATCCTAGTTGTAACATAGACGGAGGAGGAAAATTTCTATAAATAGCATTAGCACAGGATTGCAATAAAAGCAGCTACGAGTGGAAGAGTGTGGACATAAGGCTGGACATAATATTTCCATATAGTTGTACATTACAGTGATACATACATGTATTTATTCCAGCACAGATATTTTTAAAGAATAGAATCTTGAATGTGTACACACAGATTTGTGATTCTAGAACAGTGCTTCCTGATTTTCGTGAGAAATTTGCAACGCTTCGTTGGAGAAGTAAGAGAAATGTAAAAAAATAAAAAAATATGAGAGTGTGTCTATATTTAAGCAATAGTTCAGTAATGCGATAGCTATTAGGGGATTAAATACGTACTAAGGAAATAAACGGTTGACAAAGTACTTGCGACCAAACTCTCTGTGTCACGATATATACATATATATATATATGTATAATTATTTTAATATATAATTAATCCAACGCAAATTAAATAATTTAATTTATTCCTTTTTTTTACCTTCAAGTTACCTTTACGTGTCAAGAAAAGTAGCTTATTTACTTAATTAAAATCAAACCTTTTCTTACTACATGTATAATAAAGAATGTTTTACTTTAATAATCTTAGGGAGTAAAATAGAAAGATGAGAAGGGATATGCTCTAAGTATGAATATCATATTTTTTTTATTCCGAGAGATTTCATAAGAGAGTAAAATTTAGAAGGAGAGACCAGTGGGAGCGATGTGGTAGTAATCTTCTTTGTATGTGCTTAAACGATTTATACCGTCTAAGAGACGTCGGGAAACACTGTTCTAGTTTAATAATTGAGGAAGAATTGTTTATAAGGACATGAGACTAGAGTGACACTTGCCCGTAAGAGTAGACCTCGTGGTATTCCACTTTTAATTATTGAATAGCAATAAACATAGCTATATATACAAAGAAAATATATACTTGTTATATTCTCGTATGCCGTGTATTTATTGTTGAGTGCATCCCGCGCGAGTGCACATGTATATTGTACGCAATATGGAATAGTTGTGCACATGTTGATTCGATGTTTGTCACTGCAGTTCTCGGAAAGAGCGAGCGAGCGAGCGAGCGAGCGAGCGAGAGAGAGAGAGAGAGAGAGAGAGAGAGAGAGAGAGAGAGAGAGAAATTATAATAGAATAGCCATAAGGACAGCCGAATTTTAGTCAATATCTGTGTCAATAATTCTCCACTTGTCTTCGGCGTATATCAATATAGAGGAACATTCCACCGTGACACATTATTTATTCTACTACGAATAATAAAGCAAGGGACGATATGACGAGAAGAGGTGTGTTACGCAAATTAAGTTGTACTTTTTTTTTTAGTACGAATCAATTATTGATCTATTAACATGTAATATTTGTTATTATAGAATATAAATTGCTCCGTTTTGTGAATTATTGATGAGCAATAACATAAGGTTTATTTATTTTTTGTTTTTTTTTTACACTTGCGTTAATTGTATCTATTAAAGCTTGAAGAAGCACGCGAAAATCAGCCGACGACGACACGGAGAAAAATCCTTTCGAAGACCCTTCCTTGGACGGAGGAGCGTCCAAGCCCGCCGTTCGTCAAGCTAATTACATTACATGTGTATATGTGTATAAGAAAACGAAATCATGTGTATTGCAGGCGTCTTATAAAGGGATTTCGCTTGTGCAGTATTTCTTGTAATATAATCGACTACTTGTCTCTGTATTAATCAATGTGACCTGCTATCTCTCGATGCAAGACAGAAATAAAATTATCCACAAATATAGAAAGCCTTCAGTGACGTTTCATTTAAAGGAGCCAAAGTGAATCAAATTAATATACACATTTGTCTCCCCAATACAGTATTATATTAATTAATACACATCTTTATCTCCGCATAAAATATTTCTGAATGTGAAAAAGGAAGGTCAAGCATGAAAAGAGCCTGATAAGGAGACATACGCAATATCTATATATATGATTATTGGCTTCGTATCTGATTGTGACAAGAGTTATTAACACATTTTTTCCTATCGTAAATCGTAATTTTCTAAAGCTTGTAATAACGTGAACAAATAATAGTTGTCAATAATAAAGATTAATGTTATCAGAAAACAGAAAACTCAATCGCGCAACACATGATGAGATAAATAAATATATAAGTACATATATAATAATATGTGTATGTATACATGTATATATATATATAATATATATATATA